GTGGTGCTCAATCTCCTGCCCATGAGCCAGATCTGACCCACGGAGCTGTGTGGGGCTCTCCCCGGGTCTGGAAATTTGATGACACGGGAGTGGTGGCAGTGTTAATTACCTCTCTTGAGCTGCCAGATTTGTGAATTTGTGAGAATCTTCACGGGACCAGATAATGCAGCTTTTCATGATACACTTCACTAGAACCTGGGATCAAGACAATGTGTAGCCAGATCCAGTGCACAGGGTCAGGCTGCTGTACAGCTGGATCTGAGATTGGGCCAGCATGTGACCAGATCCATTGCATGGGGTCACACCTGAAGATTGACCCCACACATTGACCGTGTTCAGGATCTAGCCTACATTGCAATCCCGTGCCAAGTGGTTCAACCCACAGGACCAGAAATTTTGACACCACTGGCCTGTAATATTTACTACTTTGGTGAAAATGAGGGGTTTTGGAGATTTTTTGGATCATATACTCCAAGACTGGAGTAATGCCCTTAGCATCATCCTCTTCAAATAACTTCCCTTTTCAGATTTAGGGACCCATCAATGTCATTGTTTCTCTCCTTAATCTTAATTTTATTCCAAAATGCCTATAATATTTGAGTTGGCAGAATTGAGTGGCTCCACGGTTTTTGTTTTTCATGTAAGAATGTATAGAATTCTCACAATAAGAGCATGATTTCACTTATTCTGAAACCTGAAGTAGGTCTTCAGTTTTACAAGATCTTCAGTACTGTATTACTTTACACTGGCCTTCTTCACACTGGGAGGTTTCACACTAAGTACAGTAAATCAAATTGAGGTAGCAGCCTAGGGCACCAGCTTTTCCCAAGGGTATACTGAGGTATCAACTCAAGACATATTTCCTCTTTCTTTCTATAGATTTCAACACTTGAAATAGACTCAGAAAGATATTCTGATTATCTCCAAAGCTATATTTATAGCATTATAAAGTAATCCATATAAAACTCAGTCATTTTTATATATTATTTGTATGGGAATAGTGACTTAATTAAGCATCAGGACACGTGTTGGATACTGAACAAGATAGCTCCAGTATCAAGGAGCTTGCACACAAAGTATCAGGAAACACACACAGACAAGAAGAAGTGAGATAATTTTGATTAATACAGTAATCAACACTCACAATAATTTTCAGTTTAGCAATAAACAATCAGTACATTTTTAAAGAGGAAAAAATGCTCTTCAGTATTAGGGACTCACTAGGTATTAGGGCAGGGGTGGACAATTATTTCAGCTGGAGGGCTGCTTAATGACTTTTGGTGAGCTGTTGAGGGCCACAAGGGTGCCCAGCCCCTGATCACCATCTTGGGATCAGAAACCCCACCCCCTAACCCCTGACCTTTGCCACCAGAAGTCCCTCCATCCCCTAACCCCCAGAAGTACTCCTTTTGGAAGGGAGGTTTGCCATCTTGGAACCAGGGGGAAAAAAAACAAAGTATATACTAAAAATCAAACATCTACTATAACATATTTTAATTTTATTTTAAAAAATATTTTGCCCTGATTTATATGTGTTTGCATAGTGTATATAGAGGTGATTGCATAATAGCTCAAAATATAGTCTTACTCTTGTATATTGTGTATGTGGGGGTGTGTATGGGCTGTGTGGGATTTGTGGGGTAGTGCAGTTTGTGAAAGGGTGTGGGGGGTCTGGGATTTGTGGGGGGAGGGGCCTGGGACCCCCACCACATACAAAGGTTGCACAGCCCCTGCTGCCAGGGGCAACAGCAGCAACAGCAGGAGGCAGGCCCTCAGGGTGCTCCTGGCCAGTGGCAGGTAGACCCTGCTGCAACATTTAGCTGAAGCTGAATTCTGGGAGATGCATGTGGTAGCATGGAGCCAGCCTGGCCTGGCCCACTGGTGCACACCTTCAAACCAGACTAGGCTGGCTCCATGCCAGCACAAGGTGCCCATGGCACTGCAGGTGGGAACTGTATGCCATCAGGACAGGCTGGGTCCGTGCCTCCATGTGGGGCTTCCATCACTTCAGTGGGGAGGCAAACGTGAAGGCATGGACACAACCTGGCCTGATGGCATGCAGACCAGGAGCTGTGGGGAGTCGCATGCCATCAGGCCAGGCCAGATCCATGCCTCCACATGTGGCTCCCCGTTGGAGTGCTTGAAGCCCCATATGGAGGCATGAAGCCAGCCTGGTTTGGTCCAGCCCAGCCCAATGGTCTATGGCTTCTGCTTGCAATGCCAGGAGCCCCATGTGCTGGCATGAAGTCAACCTAGTCTGGCCCAAAGGCATGCACCAGCAGTCCAGGCCAGGTAGGCTCTGTGCCCCACATGCAGCTTCTGGGATTCAGCTGGAGCCATGCATCACTGGGGAGGCTCTGCCTGCAGTGGGCTAGGAATGCCCCAAGGGCCCACTCCCTGCTACTCTGCCACCAGTGGTGGCAGCTGTGCACCATGGCAGGAGAGCCCACTCCCACTCACAAACCCCACACCTACTCCCCCTCCTGCAGGCATGAGCTCACTTCTGTATTCACCAGCTGTCCTCATGGCCATCGCACTCAGTGGCTCCACATGGGGCTCCCAAATGGAGTGCCCAGTCCAGTGGCACATGACCAGTCCAATGGTGTGCAATCTCTGAAAGCCTGCCTCCCACCAGGTTTCAGAGGGGCAGCCACAGACGAGTAATAATAGTTTTTTGGAGGGGCCCCAAGGGCCAGATAGAATGACCTGATGGCCTGGCTCTGACCCATGTGCCATACTTTGCCTGCCCCTGTATTAGTGTCTGGTCATTGTAATAGAGCATATTTGGCTATTTTCCTTTTGTTTTAGTTGTATAATATCAGCCAAATGAACAATCAGACCCCACTTTCATCAATTAAAGGAAACCATATTTTTAGCATGTTGTAGAAGAAGAAATAACAAAGTAAGATAATATTCTTCCCCATTCAAGTACCTTGTAACTAATTATGAGCACTATGACAGAAACTTTGTAAGGAATAGTCTAAAATGAGCTTAATGTGGATTGAAATTTGAAATCTGGACAGCACGAAAATCTTTGTATAGCCTGTTTGGAATTGAAATCAGCCAGATGGTGAAGACTTTAATATATGCTTGGAAGAAGCACTTTCATGTGTGAAATGTTCATTTTATATGAAACAATCCAATGTGTATTTGTCTTGCATCAGTTATCATAATTATCAGGGGGAAAATAACTGTATCATATCAAGTGTTATCAACGCAAGACCAAAGGAAAGAAAACACTAAAAACTGCATGGAATTCAACTACCCTTTCCCTTGTGAGCTGACTGCTTTGCATCCACTGTAATATTCTATATTTTACCATAGTTCCATAAAACCCTTTATAATCAATGGTAACATAAAAGTGATTTTGTAGCCATACTGGTCCAGAAATTATGAGAGAGCTTGTATTTGAAATCTCGTCTAATTCTATCTCAAATATGTAGTTGGTCCAATAAAAGATATCACCCTAAGAATTCCTTGCTTTTACCATCAATCAAATATGGTAAGATTAGAATGTTAGATGATTTCACAAATCCTGAAAGAATTTAAGGTTGTTATTTCTGGTGAACAAAAATAATATGTGAATTGTACCAAAGCCTGATTCAGCAACATTCACTGCCAGTGCTGCTAACTATGTCCAGAGTGATGGTAAAAGGTCTTTTCACCATCTTATTCCATTCAAACCCCAAAAAGTAAAGGTTCAATGACACAGGTATTTTACTGGTCTAGCAAATACCACTTTGTATAGAAGTCCATATAAAATTATTGGGAGCATTTGGAGGATGAAAGCCTAAATATCTCTGGGTTATTGGTCCATCTCCAATGTCTCTTTCTAGTCTTATGACTATGTAAGAGAAGAGGGAGGGCCTGAGAAAGTCAAGGAATAAGCTCCTTTCTCTTTTCTAAACTGTGCTTCCAGGATCCTATCTGATTTCTCTTCCATCTGTTTCCTACTGCCCTTTCATCCTAAAATGGAAGACTTTATTACCCACCTATTTATTAACTTGCCTTGTTGGGATCTCTATATTAGCTTTGTGGATCAGTATACAGAGGTCTCAGACAGAAAATAATGGACAAATTAGTTCTTCAGATGCAGCTAACAGGCTAATTTGTAACAGATTACATAAAAAAGACTACAGCCTAGGAAAAAAAATGTGGCACCCAGAGATAGGGAAATATTGGATGATGCCACTGGGAGCAATGCCCCTAAACAGGGAAGAGTAGAAGCACCAGGGAACCGTGAAGAGCAGACCATAGCTACCTCCTACAAGTTTCTTGGGCTGGAGCCAAGACAAGAGCATGGGCTTCAGTTCCCCTCTACCTTCCATGAAAGATTGAAAATGTCCCTTTTAATTTAAATGCCACAAATCAAGGAGTCCCCAGATTGGGGAAAGATAAACTATTGTGTGTAATGCTCATCAGACTTGAGTTTTATGTAAATATTCTCTTCTTTGAGAAAAAGACCTTAATGATCTGAAGGAAAGTGTAGTAGTGACAAAATTACACCCCACAATCCATGCCATACATATGAAACTTCAGACTAGGCATATATATGAAACTTCAGACTAGGCAAAAGAAGAATATTTCAGGCATATTCACTATAAATATCCACCAATAAATAAGTCAACCTGACATACAAAGTAAGGGGAATATCAAAAGTTCTCTAAAACTGAAATAAGGGGCAGCAAGGGAGTAAGTGGAGAAAGGATACCAATTTTGGATTCATCAGCCAATTTTCTGAAGTGCAACATTATGGGCAGAACAAGAGAAACATAGTAATATTTACCAAGAGGTAGAGACCTAGAGACATTCAACGGGTTTTGATCAGGTATATTGTTGTCAGTCTCCAGAAAATCTCAGAGATGAAAAGGATGAGGCAAAAACTAGATTAACTAGTTTGGTTCAAGTTTGGATGCTTTATAACTGGACCTAAATGTATTCAAATTACCACTCAATGATAGTCTTTGACTATGACAAGACACTAAAAAAACCCAACTTACCTAGTATAACATTGGCGTCAATGGTCCCCAGTTTGACAGCTGTTGCAGTTATGATTGTACATGTGAAAGGGGCCTGAAGAAGAATGCTTACTTCTCCAAAGGATTGCATCTTGTGAAGCTGACCCACTAGAACTTGCCTTTTTCGTTTTACCTAGATGGAAAATAGAAATATGTTCTGGGATAACATAATGGTACAACAATGCTGGGATAATATAATGGTACAACACGTAATACATTTACATTAGAAAATGCTCAAAACTATGTATAGGCTATAGTTCAATTCACTGAAATAGCTGCTTAAAGTAGAAGTTTATGACAGTTTGTTCGCTGTGGCAAAACAGTTTAATGATACCTTGTATGGACAGTTTAGCTCAGCTATTTCAAGGGATGTGGTATTTTCCAATATTTCTTTTGGAGGGCTTTGGCTTCTTCAACCATTGGATGTTGTTCCAAGAAGAAGGATTGCTGGGAAGAGATAGGATCCACCTCATGAAGAGAGGGAAGGGTGTCTTTGCTGGCAGGCTTGCTAACCTAGTGTGGAGGGCTTTAAACTTGGTTCACCAGGGGATGGAGATCAAAACCCTGAGGTAAGTGGGGAAGTGGGAGACCTGGAAGAACAGCAAGCAGGAGAGGGAAACAGGGGAGCTGCTCTCATGCTTTCTGAGAAATCAGGGCACAAGCCCTAGTTCTCATGGGGATTTCAATGTCCCTGACATCTGCTGGGAGGACAACACAGCAGTGCTCAGGCAATCCAGGAAGTTTTTGTGGAGAGTGTGGGGGACAACTTCCTGGTGCAAGTGCTGGAGCAGCCAACTAGGAGCCATGCTCTTATTGACTTGCTGCTCACAAACAGAGAAGAACTGGTGAGGGAAGTAGTAGTGGATGGTAACTTAGGCAGCAGTGGCCACAAGATGATAAGAGTTCAGGATCCTGAGGAAAGGAAGGATGAAAAGCAGCAGAGTAAGGACCCTGGACTTCAGAAAAGCAGACTTTGACACACTCAGGGAACTCATGGGTAGGATCCCCTGGAAAGCCAGTCTGAGGGCAAGAGGAGTCCAGGAGAGCTGGCTGTACTTTAAAGAAGCCTTACTGAGAGTACGAAACAAATCATCCCAATGTGCAGGAAGACTGTCAAGTATGGAACAACACCAGCTTGGCTTAGCAAGGAACTCTTTAGTAAAATAAATCACAAAACAGAAGCTTATAAGAAGTGGAAACTTGGACCAATGTCTAAGAAAGAATATAAGAGCATCATTTGGGCATGCAGGGAAAAAATCAGGAAGGCCAAAGGGCAATTGGAGTTGCAGCTAGCAAGGGAGGTGAAGGGGAACAAGAAGGGTTTCTACAAGTATATTGGTAGCAAGAGGAGGATCAAGGAAAGCATGGGTCCCTTACTGAATGGGGGAGGCAACCTTGTGTCAGAGGATGCAGAGAAGGCTGATGTACTCAATGCCTATTTTGCCTCAGTCTTCACAGGCAAGGTCAGCTCCCAGACTACTGCACCAGACAGCAGTTTGGGGAGGATGTGAGAAGCAAACAGTGGCAAAACAACAGGTTAGGGACTATTTAGATAAGCTCAACATACACAAGTCCACAGGGCCAGATGGGATACACCTGAGGGTGATGAGGGAGTTGGCTAATGGGATTGCAGAAGTGCTGGCCATCATTTTTGAAAATTCATGGAAATCAGGAGAGGTCCTGGATGATTGCTAAAGGAAAAACATAGTGCCCATATTTAAGAAAAGGAAGAAGGAGGATCCAGGGAAATACAGACCAAGGGCGAATCATGCCAGACCTACCCGATCTCCTTCTATGATGAGATGACTGGCTCTGTGGATGCGGGGAGACCAGTGGATGTGGTATATTGCAATTTTAGTAAAGCATTAGATATGGTCTCCCACAACATTCTCACAGTCAAACTAAGGAAGTATGGGCTAAAGGACTGAACTGTAAGGTAAACAGAAAACAGGCTGGAACATTGGGCTCAGAGGGTAATATTCAATGGTTCGATGTCTAGTTGGCAGCTGGTATCAAGTGAAGTGCCCCAGGGCGTGGTCCTGGGATCGGTTTTGTTCAATGTCTTCATCAACAACCTGAAAGATGGCATAGAGTACACCCTCAGTAAGTTTGCAGATGTGAGCCAGCAGTGTGCCCTTCGAGCCAAGAAGGCTAACAGCATACTCTACTGCATTGGCAGGTGTATTGCCAGGTCAAGGGAAGTGATTATTCCCCTCTATTTAGCACTTGTGAGGCCACATCTGCAGAAGTGTGTTCAGTTCTGGGCCCCCCACTACAGAAAGAATGTGGACAAATTGTAGAGTCCATCAGAGGGCAACAAAAATGCTTCGGGGGCTGGAGGACATGACTTATGAGGAAAGGCTGTGGGAACTGGGTTTATTTAGTCTAGAAAAGAGAAGACACAGAGGGGATTTAATAGCAGCCTTCAACTACCTAACAGAACAAGGAGCATTGGTCTCAAGTTGCAGTAAGGGAACTTTAGGTTAGATACTAGTGTAACAGGAAGGCGGTCAGGGTTGCTGTGCTCTCCCCTGTCGCCTCCTTTACCGTGCCAAGCTGCCAACTAGAACCCTCCAATTCTCGCACGCCATGACTTTGATCTCACATATATATTTTATAGGGAGGCTACCTTTCGTCCTCTTGGCCACGGTTCTCCTGTTATCAATAGTTCCTTTCCTGTATTGGTGTTCTGTGCACTCCAGCCTTATGGGCTATGTGTGGCTCCAACCACCCCTGTACCACACCCCAAGCCGTGCAGATGTGACTGACGTTGTTCTGTCTCTCTCTATGCCCTCTCTGGAGCTTGGGCTCTCCGCCGCCCCATCTCTCTCTCTCTCTCTCTCTGCACCCTCTCTGGAGCTCAGGCTCTCCACCGCCCTGTCTCTCACTCTCTGCAGCTCTGGCTCTCCACCGCTCTCTCTCTCTCTCTCTGCGCCCTCTCTGGAGCTCGGGCTCTCCGCCGCCCCGTCTCTCTCTCTCTCTCTGCGCCCTCTCTGGAGCTCGGGTTCTCCACCGCCCCATCTCTCTCTCTCTGTGCCCTCTCTGGAGCTCGGACTCTCCGCCGCCCCATCTCTCTCTCTCTCTCTGCGCCCTCTCTGGAGCTTGGGCTCTCCGCCGCCCCGTCTCTCTCTTTTTCTCTGCGCCCTCTCTGGAGCTCGGGCTCTCCGCTGCCCCATCTCTCACTCTCTGCGCCCCTCTGGAGCTCGGACTCTCCGCCGCCCCATCTCTCTCTCTCTCTCTGCGCCCTCTCTGGAGCTCGGGTTCTCCACCGCCCCATCTCTCTCTCTCTGTGCCCTCTCTGGAGCTCGGACTCTCCGCCGCCCCATCTCTCTCTCTCTCTCTGCGCCCTCTCTGGAGCTCGGGTTCTCCACCGCCCCATCTCTCTCTCTCTGTGCCCTCTCTGGAGCTCGGACTCTCCGCCGCCCCATCTCTCTCTCTCTCTCTGCGCCCTCTCTGGAGCTCGGGTTCTCCACCGCCCCATCTCTCTCTCTCTGTGCCCTCTCTGGAGCTCGGACTCTCCGCCGCCCCATCTCTCTCTCTCTCTCTGCGCCCTCTCTGGAGCTCGGGCTCTCCGCCGCCCCGTCTCTCTCTCTCTCTCTGCGCCCTCTCTGGAGCTTGGGCTGTCCGCACACAGAGGCAGAGGTTTTAAGGCACCTCCTACCCGTCTTTTACCCAAGGCACACCATGTGGGATTTTATGGGATGTGCCCCACCGTGGGCAGTCCCCCCACACTAGCCAACCTTGGTAGGTTACGCTCCCTGTTGGTCATACTTCGGCCTGACTCTCGGTGGTTTTTCTCCCTCTCACCTCTGGCCCATCTACATTCCATCCCTGTAAACCCTGGTCTCTTCCCTAGGGTGAGTTGTGGGGTTTCTTATCTCCTTATGCCTTTCTGGAGATCCTGAAGCTTCCCCCAGATCTCCCACTGCCTCCTCAATGCCTTTTGGATATCTTCTTCTTTCCAGAACTCTACCTTACCCCGGCCAGTGGACCTTCCTCCCGGTCCCTTATACACCTTCACATATGCTACGCTCTCAACTTTCTTTTCAATGAGGCTTCTTAACATCCACCACCTGACCTGCCTAGGGAGGCCATTTACATAAATCTGAAGTCTCTTCTCAGATTTTGATCCCCCTATGGGTAGTAGTTCCCTCCTCCTTGTCTGTTGCCATTTGGCCCCACTTTCTTTGCTGGGCTCAACTGGTTCCCTTTTTACGGGGTCCATCTTTGACCCATATTGCCCCAGGCCTTGGGCTGCCTGTGTATAGTCCTGGCAAATTAAGCAGGAGGCCTCCCTCCTTGGGGTCCTCTGTTCTCCCTTCCCTGCTGCCCCTGCCTCTACCAGGTCTACTTCCCTTGGCTGCCCCGACTTGGAGCTGTACTGTTTCCCTTGGCTCGTAGTCGGAACAGTTCCTTCAACTGATGTTTTAGCTGGCTCATCTCCTTTGCATGGTGACTCTGCCATTGTTCCCATCTCCAGTTCCAACATTCTAGGAGCACCTGCAGGGCCTCCTTTTGTAGGGTCACTGGCTCTCTCTCTACAGCTCCCTCCTCCCTGGTACTTCCCCAGGCTGTCCTAGCTCAGCCTCCTCCCTAAGTTCTTCTGGGTCTAGGTCTCTGGGGAACTTCCCTGGCTCCACATGCTACAGGTTCTTATACCGGGTGGTTTGTAGCCGAGCCTCTACTTCCTTCAGGGCCCTTTTCAATACTTCCACCTCTTGGTATTGTTCCTGGTGTTCCAACTTAGCGGTCATCAGATACTCTGTTAATCAAGTTCCCAGTGCCTCCAACCTTTCCTGCACTGTGTCCGTGATCTCTCCAATTTGTGGTTCCTGTCCTGCTCCTACGAGATTTGTTACCCGTCTTTTGTCTGACCTCTCCACCTCCTTCAGGTCTTGGATCTTTATAGCCATCTGATCATTTGTTTCATGCAATCTTTTTCCCTCAGTCTCCAGACCCTGGATTTCTTGCTTCATCATTTGCACTTCCTCCTGTAACTGTTCATTTTCTTCCCTTACCCCCTCTTCCTTAGCTAGGCTATCTTCTAGAAGGGTTTTAAGGGACTGTACCTGTTGCCCAAGTTTATCTTTTTCCCCCTCCACACTCCTTAACTGGGTCTGTAATCGGTCATTC